GATAATAAAGCTAATAATTCACGTGCTAAAAATGGTACAAGACGATGAAGACAAGCTTGATTTGATGCATACCATGTTGGTGAACATTCTCGTATAGTTAATGTATCATGATTATGTCCAAGTAATGGACTATGAACAAATAAACGATTGATATAAATATATTTACGAAATGCAACTGTTTGTCGTGTTGATTGTGAATAAATTGTTGATTGTTGTAATTCTGATGTTGTTTGACGTACATAACGATGAAGCAGATGACGTATTGAATCACGAGAAATAATACTTAATCGAGATGATGATGGATTTACTGAACGAACTACTGATGAATGAGAAGAATTTCTTGAATTGTTACTGAAAAAAAGAAACATTAAAAATTAAAAAAGAATTATTGTAATATATATTATATTTAAATATTTTACTTTGGTCGACGAACAATAGATTCTAATGTATTTAACCATTCAACATAAATCATTTGTCGAAATATATCATTACGTCTATGATCATTTGAATTGTCTGATCTTTGACGACGATTATCAAACCAATTAAGAACATCATTAAAACTACTAAGTGCTGGTGGTGGTAATGTTGATCGTCGTGATGTTTGTACACGAATTTCTTCAACTACTTCACCAGAATAACGTTCACGTGTTATTAAACTAAATGGTTGTTTACATAATGGACATATAGCACGAACTTTTGACCATTCAAGTATACAAGGAAAACAAAATGTATGTGAACAAGAATCAATTCGAGCAATAATATCTGTTTGTTTATTATTTAAACAAACAGCACATTTATCTGGTGTCGGAGGACGAACAGCAACAAGTGCAAGTAATGTTTCTTGATCTAAATTTGTTGAACTTGTTGGTAATTGATCAGTCGCAGTTGTTTGCTCATCAACACTCATGACAAAAATGAAATATCTGAATAAGAAAAAAAACTATGATAACGACAATTGAGGAGAAATATCGTACTGATTTATATGTTTCGAAAAAAAAGTGTACTAATAGAACTAATGACTCAATAAACTAACAAATCAAAATAAAATTACCAAATAGAGTGGAACATTCCTACAGTGCTACTGTCACTGCATTTCTACATGTAATACAGCGCTTTCATTATGAATTACATCATTCTGTGATTGAACAAGAAATAATGAAACATTTATGTTAGATGTCGCTAGTTGTCAGACAAAATATTTTAATTGTTTACCAAGGTTAAATAGTTAACAAATCAATGATGTATATTTTAGATTGATCTATTTCATTCAGGGTGTACCGAGGTTATCAAGATCGGCGGAGAGGAGAAGTGACTATTGAGTATGTACAGTTCACGACATCAGAGGCGGGATCGATCGTTGTTACAGAGATTGATAAACAAAAACAACGAAGAAAATCGTTCAGTTTCGCTGGAGAAAAATAATGAATTCTCCATCATTGGAAGAAGCGGATCGTTTACATCTCCTTCTCCACTTAGGAAATACCTAATTTAACTGTTTATATTAGTTGTGTGTTTCATGATTTGCTATTCTACTTCATTTGTTTTATAAGAAATAAAAATTATTTTAATAAAAACCAAAATGATTTTTGTTTAGAATACTGGACTGATTTAACTTTTTCAAGTAACAGTTGTGGCAGAAGAAATTTCTCATTTTTTGTTAGATTGTCTTCATGGATTCGACTGCATCATAAAATTTCGTTCTGATGTTAACAAGTAGAGAATTTTGCATGGATCTTATTTATATATTCTGTTCAATATAATTGCATTCATTTTTTTCTTCTAACATTAAAGATATTATTACAAAGGCTATTCGAATACAGTATGAAAAATAAGAGAAACATATCTATTTTTAAGACATATTACCAAGTTTTCGAATAAAACTTTATCATTTAAAGCACTGCTTGCAAAAAATATCGAATTATCAATATTAGGCAACTTTTTTATGTTCAGGAAAAGAATTCAACCTCATCAGTAGGTTGCAAAAGTATTCCACCCATTATAGTGAAGATTATTTTGTAGATCTTGAAACTTTGCATCTATTGACAGAAAAAGGAATAGTTTGTGCAAATTCAATTTTCGAGAAAATTGTCGACGACAAGTATAACTCCGTTGACCGATACTGTTTTGTATGTTTTAGAAAGGAACAACTACGCTTATTAAATGCCAAACTAACTGCTAGATATACTGAAAAATTTTATAACTCTTAGGATCAAAAATAAATTTTAAAAATATCAACTAACTATTCAAAAATTGATGTTCACAATTGTCTTATTTTGTAGTTGAGTAAATGATGTTTTTATGGTCTTCAGTACTTTTAGTACTACAAGAGACGAACAGATGTTCATTTTGAAACGAACATATCAATCAAATCAACACAAAATTCATGACTTATTAAGGGTCACAATGAAGCTTACTGATCCAGTCTAATTTGACATAAACATTCTAGCAAAAATCAGATCTTGCTTCTGCTACACCGGTTATATTTATTGAGTTTTTCGTTAAAGAAAGTTATATATGTAATTTTTTTTCTACGATATACACTTGAATAGAGTATCGTTTTTTTTTTCTCTCGATTGGTTTTATAATTTTCATTAGATATTTACGTAGAGTTTTTATTTGTGAAAGTTAATATAAACTTTGTTCTTTATTAACAAGTACAAAAATGAGACAAATTCTAACAGGAAAATTCAATTTTCTGTTCAATTTCAAATCAGTTGTATTCTGTATTTTCTGCACACTTAATTAAGTTTGATAGGTCTCTTTCATCGAAATCAATTTTTATCATTAATGATTTTGTTATGATTAAAATACAAGCATGCAGAAAAATCGTTCCAGTGCTTCTTAGAATTGATCGAATTATGAAATAACATTAAAAACAAAATAAAATGAAAACTATATGTTTTGACAGAACAATTGATGCTCCATCTAATTGTATTAAAAATGAGAAACATTTCGTGGTTTTGTATGAACACACCGAGTAAATAAGACCATGAAAAATAACAGAATTAATTAGATTGTCTTTTTTTTATCGAAGAAAAAAAAAGTTTATATTTAGCATGTATAATTTGTTTATTTGCCATTTCGATCACCTACCCATGTGCCTGATGAGCCAGAACCTGGTGAGCGTTCACTTACACATTTTCCTGTATTTTTATGACATACATAACCAGAACAACATGATTTAGAAAATATGCCTGAACATTTTTCATAAAGTCCAGCACATCTAAATAATCAAGATATATAAATGAATAATATACATTTTTTTAAAATAAGTTTAACATATTTTAAATTAAAATATTATATACCTTTTTTCATAATGCCTCAAATGTCGTGCTCGAACATAAGCACAATTTGCAACAATCAATAGAACGAGTAGACAAGCACAAAAGCCAACGTTAGCTACCATTTTTGCTTTTGCAATATGTATGAAGAAAAAAAATGTTATTACAGCTTTTATATAACAGCATATACTACAAGATTTTAATACCAAAAAAAATGCACCTTGATGTAAATGTATTCATATTAGCAAAAAGACTATTATGTATGAATTGTATAAATATGTGTACTTTGTCAAATGAAAAAAGAAATTGTAAGCTCTATTATAAAAGCCTACTGCCTTCACGAGTATGAATATTCGGATGAAAAAAAATAGCATGACGTTTCATTTGAAGTAAAATGACGATAAAGCGATATGACGTTATATGATAGATGAATTGGTGTACTTTTTATCAATTGATTATTCGTTTTAAGTTTATTGTTTTTACTCTGTATTTAGAAAAAGAGAAGTTTTTTACAATTAGAAATTTTTCTCTTCAATTATGAATGAAATTTCTACGTTTTTTTTTTCACACACATACTTAGAAAGAAAATGTAAAGTTTTACAAAATATTATTTGTAACATGAATATTTTATGGTATCAGAAGTTTTAGCTGCTGTGATACCAGAGAAAAAGAAGTGCATTGTATTATTGATAGATTTCATAAATATTTAACAAGGCCTACAAGAATAGATTGTTTTTCTTTTTCAATATTGTGAGATTACAGCAAGAACTGTAATTCTAGTTTAGAATCGATTATACTGAATGTACTCCAAACGACTTTGATAGACATTATACAATCGAAGAAACTTTTGAAAGTTTCAACTAGAAAACGAAAAAATTTTATTGAGTTCATGAATTAGCTTGATTTCTCATTATTCATCTAATATATTTGTCTTCAGTCAACCATGTTAAAAAAACTCAATACGATTCAGTCTTGATGAGCAGTTTGATAAAATCATATTGAGTGGAGTATTGCTGATATAAAATGATCGAATTATTGATTATAATTTCGTACGTTTGTGTTAATCGAAAGTGTCCTATATTTTTCATACAGCGATATTTTTAGAAATACGTTCGTAAATTCCAAATACACAAGTTTTCGGCATGAAATTAAGTTATGAATATTCTTATTTACTTCAAAGTTATTAACTTTTTTTTTCATTGCAATCATATGAAAATGTCACAAAAAGTCGTATATAATTATTTTCGTAGTCTTTTCGTTTTATTGCAAGTCAATTGTATAGATTATTTTTTTTTAAATATAAAAGTTATCGATCAATATACACATTTCGGTAATAAGAAGCAATATAAACAATTTAGTACAAGATACACAAAATTAAACATGATGATCTATACAGCTTTTTTCTTTCTAGGCAGTATATAGGTAACTTTCGTATGTATGATGATTGTTATCTTTACAGATTGATATTAATCATAATTTGAATATTTGTAAGGTTATAGTTTTTTCTTTCTATTAGATTCCGTTTTTCATTTTCTTGTATCAGAGAACATTGCAGAAATAAGTCATAAAAAATCTATGATCAAAAAAAAGATGTTTTCCAGTTTATTCGACATCTACAGTATGAAAACAACATCTTGTGTTTTACTTAATAACTTCTTTGTTTTCCTTTGATTGAAAATATGTATTAATAGTTGTTTTCTAACTTTAGATATATCTGAAATGGCTTTCAATGATAGAAAACTATGTGGATCAGAAGATTCAGAAAATACCATTTTTTCAGAAATTGCACCAATGTCTGAAGAGTTTATCGATTTTTCAATAACTACAATAGAAAATCAAGATAAATCTATTTGTGAACAAGTTTTTGAAAAATTTGAACATTTTAAACAAGAAGCAACAATATTATCAAATTCTGAAAGTATGAAAAAAAGATTAAATGAATCTATATCTCTTTGGAATTAATTATTGAACATGGCAAATAATGTTAACAAGAAAAATAAATATTGTTTTGATGCAAATCGTGCTCTAGTTACAGAAGTATTTGCTGATATGAATGAAACTGATTTATTTTATAATGATAATGATTTTTTACGACAAATATTCTTTAGCTATTTAGATCTTCTTAATACAAATGAAATTCAACAATTTTTGACAGCATTAGCACCGTCTACATTAGCAGACTCTATACGTGAATCGAATATTTATTTATTACTTTTTATTTTATCAACAGTATGTCGTTCTGTACTCTTTTTTGACAATGATATTGCGGATCAGTATAATCCTTTGTTGAAAGCTATGCAAGTTCATATTGAGCAGAAGCTTCAAAATACGGCTTTGCTTCAAAATACGGCTTTGCTTCAAAATACGAATGAAAGACTTACTACTGTACATCAACGTATATTGTTGTTGCTATGGGATTTAAGCGATCGTACGGTAGTTGTTCCATCTCTCTTACGTGCTGGCTTTGGTAAAAGTGTTATTGAATGGTTAAACTATCCAACATTTAAATATCAATATAGAAACATTGATAGCTAGGTATTTTTGATTTCTTGAGAAATCTTATGCAATTACTTTAATTCAAACTGCCCTTTTAACGTTCAGGTAAAATACAAAAGCGAATAGTGCGCCTTATTGACTGAAATTCAAAGTAAGCTACTACCATACTTTCATGCTTCTCTTCGACATGTGCAATCTAAAGTTCTGTTAGACTCCTTGTTATAATAATCAGACAACATGTACAAATAAATTCTTACAATCCCTACATTTATTCCGTTGATAACATAATCTTTTCTGTTCGAAAACTTCTATAGAACAGCAAAATTTATTTTTTGTGTTTCCGCATGAATGATCTCCAACGAGAGTTTACTATAAAGTCATCATGGAATTGATTTCAGATGTGGCAATCTTTGACGACCTCAAGTACTAGATTTCATCATCGATCTAATTTATCTCTCATATGATATCACCAGTTCATACAGCCGCAAAACTTGTGCATAAAATTTTAATTTTTCTTTTTCACCCAGCATCAAACATCATCACCAATCTCAAACATAGACTTCAATCATCAGTAAATGAATTTTATACCTGGTGCAATTCGTGGAAACTAAGAATTCAACCCAGCAAGACTGAGTTGTTGTACTTTAGTCCGCATCCACGGAAAAAGTATTAAAAACAAAATAACAATTGAGGTTGAAAACACAATCATTAAACCTATAACATCAGCAAGATATCTGGGTATTATTTTTGATCATGAAGTAAACTGGAGGAGTCACATCCATCATATTGAAACCAAAGTAGTACCACGAACAAGTGTGCTCCGATTTCTATCTAAACTAAACTTAACATTGAATAACAACATAATGATAAATCTATTTAAATCTCTAGTCAGATCAATTATTACTTATGGTTCCTCGGTTCTCTTGATGGCAGACGAAAAGATCTGGAAACGTATACAAATTATCCAAAATAAGGCTCTACGGGCAGCACTGGGACTTCTCGCATACACGTCTACAGAATAATTACATAACATCACCAATATTCCCACAATCAAAAAATACTCAACATTCCTTCTTCAGCAGGCAATTGCAAGAGCAAAAAATTACAATGACACTACTTCAAATGAAAATTTATCACATATTCTAGCCAACCTTTATGTTAGTTGAACTCATCTTCCCTTGATTGGGGCAAAAGACTCAAGTCAGGAGCTCTATCACTCTCTCATCCCCTCAAATTTTTCCGTTGTTCCTTTTCCATTTTTAAATTCTGTCTTCTTTTTCCATTTTCTATCTATACTTGTAGATTTATTTACCCCATAAATAAATCGTTGAAACCTCATATGAAGAAAGACTATGACCATTGATGGAATTCCATAAAGCATTGACTATGTATTTCACTTCAACCTAAATCAATTGAATATAATTTACTTGGATTCGGTAATTTAAACAAGAAGCACAAAACAAATCAATTGAAAATAATCAGATCTCCAATTAAATCAAATGTAGATATTCAATACTTGAATCGATCATCTTATGCAACATTTGAAAATAGCTTGGGTGTGATACTCATAAAAATTTAATCATCTTATTCGAAGCAACAACCTCCAAAATATACTTCATCAGTGATATTCTACCTGATCTATCAAGTAAAGATGATAAATACACGAATTCTATGAAAAAACTCAGCCGTAAATTGTGTCAATTAGAACGACAGATTTATTATTTATCATTTTACCATTCGATTCCACTTAATCAGTTTTTTTGCTGGTCTCGTCCTATTTGAATTATATCGCGATATATCGATTAATTATTAATAAAACTCTTTCTATTTCTGTTTTTTCGTTTCATTGATAACTGTGACGTTTCGATCTCGGCGAATTTCTCATCAGAAAGTAGCTAAATACAGTTAACAAACAAATAGTGAATACTTGACAACATGTTTTGCCTATTGATTTCTTTTTATCTGCTACTTTATTTTATTTTTTGAAAACAAAATACATTCTAACGAGACAACGACTCGAAATGATAGCCTTTGTTTTAACCCATTTATATCTCAATAGATAACATGTATCGAGATAGTAAAAGAATTGAGAGGATTTTCTCTGTGGTTTTTTCTTTAAAAGTTATGACCGTTTCATTGAATTATCGATCCGATCCTAGCAGAGATCGAAGCGAACGACAAAAAATGAATTCGGATTCGATTCCATTCGACCCACTTCCAAAAAAATCTTAATCGATTTGATTCGTCTCAATAAAACTCATATTCGATTCGATTCAATTCAATCCGAAAGCCATAAAAGCTCAATTCGATTCGGTTTGATTCGGTTTTGTTTGGTTCTGACATTTTAAAAAAAATGCTATAGATATATACATAAAGAAACAATTAAAATAAATACGAGAATCTGGATTATGTATAATTGGTTAACACAACATTCTAATATCTAATATATTGAAGACGATACTGAATATGACTATTAGTCCTAGTACAGTGACACTAATTTTTATCATTTCTATTTGATGTTTAATAGTGAATCTTTGAATGTGTATTGAAATTCTAGTTGGAAAATTTCTAATGAGCACTTATCAAAATCTTATTTTATCATTAATCTACAGATGAGATTGTATAAGAGTTGTAAAAATTAGGACATGTTTTTTTTTCGTAAAGAATTAATAATTCATTCAAATTTCATCTAATACGTTATAGTAATTGCTATAAAAAAAGTATCTCTTTAATTTGAAAAAAAAAATATAATATCATATCATTCTCATTCATATTATTTGATTAAAGACTTGCACGGAAAAGATTTTTACTCGTGTGGAGAAAAGTTATCTAATTGCAATAAACAAGTTCAACTTCTATGGAAGGAATGATAACGTGTTCCTTTCTCTAGAATTAACATCATGCTTAACTCTTTCTCTCATAGCACCATGTTTATAAAATTCCTTTCTGTTATACATGTCTCAAGCAACTCGTTTATCAATGTTCTATGCATTCGTCTGGCATACTAAAATGGCTAGACGTTGATGACTCATGTTATCTTGATTTCTTGTTTTATGTGCGTTGATTTTATTGCTTTCGCTCTCCATACATTACGTGTAATCAACACAATGCCTCTTTAGGTCTCATTATGGATAGAAGATAAAATAAACCACAAATAAACACAGTTCAATTTTTATTCATATATCTTTTGTACAACGATCGACAGCTGACCCAAATAATAAATTACAGTACAACTGATAAAACAATGGAAGACACATGATAACCATATGGGATTAACAAAAAACTAAATATTGACTATATAATATTCTTCTACAATTGTTATGACATTTTAAAAAATGTCAACAACATTTGAATATTGAATATCAATATAGAATTTATTTTCTATCAAAGAAGGTCATGAATAACAAATAATAATAATAATAATACGACTTTCATGATACATACTGTTGTATGATAATTAATTAGCTAAATTCTTTAGTTCAATATAGCTATTAACAATAATCTTATGGATGATATTTTTCAACGTGTCATTATAACCTTATGAAATGCTTCAGAGTATTTTACATTAAGAAAACATAATATACATGTAAGCCTTGATTGCATTCAGTTGATAGATATACAAATAACAAATAGATGATTGATTTGAAAGATAAATAGTTCTAGAGCTAATCAAATACAATAATTATCTATTGAAAGATATGTTTAGTGTTCTGTTTTTACATCAGTAACAGCTTCATTTAGTTAATTTTATCAAGGATTAATACTTTTTCGTTATACTTTTTTTGGCCTTTTTTTTTATGCAAGACAATATATCTTTTACTATTTTCTCTGATTTAATCAATATAGGAAATATTTTCTATTCTTCCATATAACTTTAGGCAGATTTTTGATGATATGATGTTTTTCTTAATTGATCATATTTTCAATTAGAGCTATCGGCGAAACTCAAAGATATCTTCAATAGATATTCTAAATAATTATATCAACAGCTGTTGATCTAACAGTAAATATCACATTTTGAAAACAATCAGTACATATTGCTGGAATGCATGTACGAGATAGTCAATAAATGTTCACAAAAAATCATTGTTTCCTTTTGAAATCAATTTATAATTAAAAAAAAACAAAAAAAAAAACTTATAACCAAATATAAAGAAAACGATAATTATTCTTATAACGAATAAATTTTTTAAGTTGAATCAACATTGAATGATCCCAATCTTGATCAAGTGCAAAAAGTTCTAGAAACATTAAATATTTCAGATAATAATTATTATTATTTTGTCCAATCATTGTTAATAATATTTTATCAAACGAATGTATTTTATTATCAATAGCAAAACTCATTGAATGTAAATTAGGAAAAATAGGTATTAATATATTTTTTACACAATCAATTGATATACTTTCTGTTAAAGATAACTGTAATTTTTTAATTCTTTTCATATTTTGACGTATTGTATCATTAATTTGACATGATATTAAATGGTTTAATGGTAATGTTAATGAATCTAAATTTGTCATTTTAGTTAATAATTGTACAGCAAAACCATCTGTTATACATGTACCATATAATTCGAAATGTTTTAAGTAAACAAATGATATCGATTGATTTAATAATAAACGTGATTGATGTTCAATTGGTGTTATATTTTCATAAAGACCTAAATAAAATGAATGAACAAGTGGACAACGTATTGTATGTTGTTGTTGATAAAGTATTGTTTGATTTAATATTAAATCGAAATGACGTATACGTGAATATGCATCATGAATATTTCTTACTGAAGGTTTTTTTATATAATTATTTAAATGTAATTTCGTAAATGGTATTGTACATATAATATGTTTATAGGATGTTATTTCATAAATGATTCGAATATTATTTGTACGAAAAAAAATTAAATCTTGAAATTTGTTTGTTATTAACATAAGATCACGTTGTGGATCTATATTTAATGATATATGTAAATCGAAAATTTTTAATCGATTTAATTTATTTATAAATAAATTATTCCAACGTTCTGTGTCAATATGTT